GGTGTTTGCCATCGGGATTGGGTTTTCGTCGCTTGGCAACGAAGTTGTAAAACAAGCCAAGTCACTTCGTGAAATCGACAACCAGGTTACCGTTTTTTTTTTTTTCCTCCGTTTTTTTTTTTGGGCGGTAACCATAATGGTGGTCGAGTAGATCATGTTGTGCGGGGTGGAGAACCCTCACTCCGCGCAAGGGGGATGATCGCACCACGTTGTGTTAAAATGGTCAAGCACCCTCGAGGCAGTTACACAGTGCTTACAACTGTCTCTGGAAGTGAAAGCACCAGAAAATAAATTAATTCATACGCAGCTGTCATCCGTACGCAAGGAAGTAAGCACAAGATGCCGAACACCCTTAGCAGGATGCAGCGCACCCTTCATGCGACTCGCCGAATATCTCACGGCGCTTCGCGCTTGGTGATGTGAGAGCCTGGTCCGGTGAGAACCCGGCGTGCTCCGTCCCGGCTTTGTAGGGATGCGAGGTCAACGGTCTAACGACTACGGCATGCACGACTATGAGTCCACCCCCCCCCGCCCCCAAGCCATATTTTTCGTGCCCTCGACCCCGATAGGTTTTACAGTGGGTGACCCCGAATAAGGCGGTGGTGGGGGCAACTGAGAATGACCGCCATAAATGGGGCAGCCGCCTTATTCAATGTGTAGAACAACTTGATGTTTTGTATGTACCAGGCAATTCCACCAGTCTTACCTCTAAATAGGGCGATCGCCGTACTCAGACCGCCAAATTCGGGGACCGCCACTCTACATAGGAACTATACAAGGGCCCGTATGGGATAACATAAGGACATAATAAGCAATCTCCCTCAAGAATTGCACAACTACCTCCGGCGCGACCCCCAATCAAAGAGCACCGAGTAGGATTTACTTCTCCCGCTCCCTGTGGGTTTTCGCCGCTTGGCAACGGCGTTGTAAAACACGTCAGTCGCTTCCTGAGGTCGAAACCAGGCTTCCGATCTCGACGATAAAAGGATCTTCTGGAAATCGCGGAACGCTAATAATCGGTAGTGTAGCAAGGGCTACAACCTGAGCTACTTCTACCATTGTACGCGAGCAACATCTCCGGAAGGCTGCTATAGATTCGTGCCGGAGAAAAGCGAGACATGCGGGTGTTTCCTGGATTTTCAACAGTAGACCTCCCAACTCCACCACGCCCTAAAATGAAACGCAGCAACTAGACTAGTCTAAGATTAAACAATTCGTAAAATAACAAAATAACCAACATCACAGCAACGTTGTTCAAGGAGAGATGGGTCATTTTGAACAGCCCGCGTGAAGAGAAACAAGGCCGGCAACACTGCTTGTCGTGGACCCGCCAACATTTGTGGACCATCACTTCTCAAACATAGAAGGAAAGCGTGTAGGTGAGGTGTGTGTGTGTGTGTTTATTATTAGCATCGACCGCGCTAACCGGCTGACCAATGAAAAGACGTCAGTCTTAGTGCGGTTGAAAACACAAAACACTTATATCCACCATGAACTGGGACCCCGTGAGGAGGCAGCATGGGGGAGGCTAGGCGTGTGTGTGCGTTTTACCGTTACAGGGCCGGAGCACATAAGTAAGACTGATATCAAATACGAGCTCAGGTCATGAAACCGGAGAATGGTGGTGACGGATGGAAGCGTGTTGTTACCATATCTACGTCGTCACACGCTCGGGGGAAGGGGACCTACATTCACGCTCCCTCCCCTCCAGAACGATGATGACATGATGGACAAGCAGACGTGAGTTCGAGGCCGTGTGTCAGGGACACGTTTAAGATTAAGAATCGGATTGATTCTGATTTGTGGAGACCGAAGGGATCATCAACGACGCATACAACACACGGACACGAGAGGACACAGAATGGCGGGGCTGTGACTGACATCAACAGCTCTTGCAAAGAAGTCATTCAGCCCCTCCTATGCGTACGAGAGGAGTTTATGTTCCTGGATGCTCTGTTATAGCGGTACAAAAACGATCATATGAAGCAACCTCCCGGCCCAGCTGCAACACACCCCAGAAGCCATAAGGATCCAAGTCCAGGATATCTAGGCTAAGCCTTGAACCCTACATACACTGCTGTTTGCTATTCAGTACAATAAGAACTGGAACGTGCTGAATTTTTAGATAGATGCAGGGGCAGCGTCTCCTCTCCTACCCCCGTCCCTCCCCCCGCGCTTTAGACTAGGTCTGACATCAATACTCCCTTCTTCACAAAGAACAAAACACACAGAAGTTTCCACATATTCGATACTTTCAAGCGCGCTGTCGCCGTGTGCAAGGAAGTCCGTTGAATAAGTCAGGGCGTTTGTCAGGGTAAGTGCAACGTTGAGCTCCGTCCCCAAGCGCGGAATGATGATGGTCTGTCTGCCTCACTTTCATGGTTGGAGAAAAAGTTAAGCCGCTGTCGCTCTCGGCCATTTGTATGTTAATTATAGAGTGTCACCCAGGCCCGGACCCGCCTTGGGAGGCGGATGTTGGCGTCTCTCTCTCTTGTGATTCTTATCCGCGGCCGCGATGTTGATGTTTTTGCGAATTGTGTCGAACACCAGCGCGCAGTAGGCAGCACGGCATATATGAGATGTCAGCCAGCCACGGTTACTCCCTCGCTGGGTGTGGTGGGGCCACCGTGTGGAGCGAATCAATCCCGAGCGCGTGGAGGCAGACCAAAAAACGGTGTGGTATACAGCCAGATAATATGGTGCACATATAAACGCGCTTGGCTACATACAGATGCATAATACGACCCACAAGAAGGGCGCGTGTGTTGTGTCTTTTGAGCCTACAAAAAATCAAGCTTTGTGTTCGCATTGTTCCTTTCACTGACTGCTGCGGCTGGCTGGCTTTGGGCGCTCTCCGGTGCTTGACAGGCGGGACAGGTCGCGTCGCTAGGTAGCGTCGCCAGTGAGACGCCACAGCTGTAGTTCACCATCATCTACCTGGCCCAGACGGCGCAAAAAAAGTACAACACAAGCCTCCGCACGCAACAGGCGTCTGTCGCGAGTCGGCGGGGCCGAAATCCAGTCTTTCGTGGCATCTACCGGCCGGAAGGAAAGGCTTCCTCCCGGCACGGTCGTGCCTCTGTTGCCAACATGGATAGCGGTGCTGCTCACCTCGCTGCTGGCGCCCTTGCCGACCACTTCCCCCATGAGGTATCTCCCAACCATGATCCCTTGCACTCCAGGACGACGTCTACTGGTTTCGCCCATCTTTCCCTGTCTTTCTTCGTGCCGCGATTCTTTGAGCCTTTTCCCCGCGCTCTCTCTCTCTCTGCCACTCGCCTTCCCACCGGGCAGCAACATGCCCCTCTGTCTCAGCCGCTGTTGTCCTGCTCTACCTGTTGTGTCGCTCCACAATCCACATTCAAGAACAGCAGCAGCAGCAGACCTTAGAGAAGAGGGTGAGGTATAAAGCCGATGGCACTGCACACAGGCCAAGTTTATCCGTGTCGTTTGCGTGCTTTTTTTTTTTTTCAGATACAATCTTAATCTTGAGAGGGTACAGAGCAGCCGGTTCTGTGGCTCTGGCTGCATCCTTGTTCGCGCACGGTATGATGCAAGCACGTAGACTATTATTGTTTTCCCAAGTAAGCATCCAACACTTACCCCAGGCGAAACTCAGGGGAATACGATGAAGGCCTTACAGCAGTGGATGGAGCACAGTATCAGCGACGGTGGTCGGAACGAAGAGAGTCCAGGAAAGAGAGTGTGAGGTGAACTTGGAACCTCACAGCAAACGGGTTTTTCTGTGGACTAGTCTAGTCTGTTCTGCTGGCGAAACCCATGAACGACCCACAAACTTCCTGTTGACACGTTGACACTGCCAGGGAGCGTTGTCTCCTATCGCAGTAGTGCCAGGGACACCTAAGGGGACACATCAGTAAATCTCCCCCTCCACTAGAAGATGTGCGTGCCTCCCATAACGGTAGCAAACAGCGGTTATTCACAGTGATATCTTAGACTGATGTAGAGGTCCCGCTGTGGCTATTATGCATCCAAGAGAACGGCAGACAAGGTGCCATTGGAGTGACCTCCGGTTGCGCTACGTATGTAGTCTAGTCTATCACACTGCTGTCCGATGCACAGGTGATGTGCGATACAACATCGACCGATTGTGTTGGAAACATCGAACGGAAACGACCCTCGACCCTCGACCGTTGATGTCGCACGCCGCACCCTATGGGGAAATAAACTGGCATGTGGCAAAAGCACGACACACTAGACTATTCATACCGCTGCTAGACCTACTGCTGTAGATACAAATCGAACACACTTTCAGTAGCGGAACTTGAAACCTTCAGCGGCAAACATCAGAGAGCACAGGGGCCATGACACTCTCTCGTTCCTGCAACATTTATGTCTAGCTGGCGATCTCCACACGTTTCACAAGCAGCCTATTGGCAAGGTTTCGAAGCAGGTGAAAACAACGAAATACAGCAGTGTTTGTGTTAGTGGTGCGTTCTAACGGAACGGCGTTTCGTTTGGTCGGTGGGAATTCGTCAAAAAAATATCCTACAATGGTAGCGTCGCCACTTGACATTATCATCTGATTATTTCGAATGTAGACAAAAACGTGGACCAGCTATCGAGAGTTCCCCGAGATACTCGTCTCTGTTTAGTGCCGGTTGAATAGTGCCGGTTGCCGTTATAGTGCCGGTGTTTTCGGCTCTCACACACTGGAATACCAAGTCGTTCTGTACTTCGAATAGTGCCGGTGTCCGGTTTAGTGCCGGTGAAATTTCGGCGCACACCCCGGCACTAGATAGGGACCTCTACTGCAGTCCTATTTCCGGAACGATAGCATGATCTGCACATAGAGCGGTACCATGAGAATCAGATGTATGATGGGCGATCCTAACACAAACCCTTTGCACCAAGAGATCCCTTGACTGTAAGGTGTTTACTTAGTCTTCCCCATTTGTTTTGCGTAAGCAAATCAGCTGAGAAAAAAGTCGAAACACTGAGGTCAAAGAAAGGGGGGCATCTCAACCAAGGATTTGAGTCGCCAACAATAAGCCGGAACCAACCCGTAATCCAAACCCTGGCCTGCGACCGACCTCGCTTGTTTTAGACACGAACCCGGCGTGCGGGTGGACGACGCCCGACCGCCGCTGATAGTGCCCCCTCACTGCTGAACATCGGACGCACCGACAGAACACAGTTGTCCCATGCAAGGGTGATGGAGGTTACCCGCCGGTGGGCTGCACCAGATGAGTTGAGTACCAGGGTGGGGGGGCAGAGGCAGTCCTCCACTCCAACTGTGTATCTGCATGCTCCTTGAAGCAACGCTAGTGCTCCCAATACGTTAATGTTCGGTTCTCCGACGATGACGCGATGTTTCGTTGTGCGTTTTGCCCCGTTCAACCTTTAGGATGTCTAGCACAAATATACTAATACTTAGTATATCCCTTCTGTATCAAGCCTTGTTGCGTTGAGACGGCACTTTACTTCTGCGTTGTATTTAATGGGGGGGGGGGGCGGAGCGGGGCAACTAGCCTCGCGTTCGAACCTCGGCATTGCGTCTCACCTCGCACCCGGTTGCGGGGTAAAGAGTGGAGGGCAACTAAAAGTTGTCTCACTCACCGAGCGATGCGGACCCTTGTTTTCACGGAGAATGGTAAGGCAGCAGTATTTTGCTCAGTTCTTTTGTCTCTCTGGCCATGTTTATGGCGGATTCTCAGACGCCACGATGCAGTGCGTGCGCCGAGACTGAGGGAGCGACAAACAAACAACAAGCAGAGTGTCTATCGCACATAATATACGTGTCGTTTGCCTTGCAGCTTCAACACAACAGCGCGGCCGGGAGGTACTCATTGCCGTGCATGCCGTAGTTGTTAGGCCATTGATCTCTCATCCCTGCAAAGCCGGGACGGAGCACGCCGGGTTCTCACCGGCCGACCAGGCTCTCACATCGCCAAGCGCGAAGCGTCGTGAGGTATTCAGCGAGTCGCGTTGGGGATGCGCAGCATCCTGCTAAGGGTGTTCGGCATCTTGGGCTTACTTCCTTGGGGAAGGGGCGTCGCAAAATCAGCATGCACAAGGCAGGCTAACGCTGCCCCCCCGTTCCGTCCTGCCCCGCCCCCGGCACCCGCCGCAGGCCGTCGGCGAGCTTCAACTCTCGCTCATACTTGGCGCGTTTCGACTGCAGCCGCACCCTGAGCTTGGCCAGCTTGTTGCGCTGCTTGGCGAGGTTCATCTCCCTCGTCTTCCCGTATCGCTCGTTCTGGAGCTTGAGCTCGTCGCGGACCTTGTCCTGGTACTGCAGCTCGTCCTCGTAGTGGTAGCCGAGGTTCAAGCGCC